TGTGCTCCACGGAGTCAAATTGCAAGCCCTGGTCCCCAAGATTTTGGGCCCAGTATTTGCTCCAAAAGGTGAAATCGCAAGCCCCGGTTTTTAAGATTTTGGGCTCATTTCTTGCTCCAAAGAGTAACATCGCAAGCCCTGGTCCCTAAGATTTTGGAATCGATTTTTGCTCCAAAGAGTCAGATCGCAAGCCCTGGTCCTAAAATGTTGGGCTCAATTTGTGCTTTTCCCTTTTCCCTACACATGGGCGATGGAACGGGTGTCCTTTTCAATCGTTTTCTGCATCTTCAAGAGAAACAGGGACACCCCACAAGAAGGAAAAGCAACATAAGAGACAGGGAGGGAAATTGACCCTTTCCTCTCTTCTTATCTGCTATTTTTCTTATTCGCTTCAAAAAGCAACATAAGGGAAAGGGGATTTCCTGAAGAGGAGAGAGGGAACCTATCTGTGAAAAGCAAGAATGGTTTTTTCTAGTTCGAAAGGGAATAGGGAGAGACAAGGGAGAGATGATATGTACAGCTTTGCGCCTTATTTTGTGATTCCGTCTCCTGTCTCTTCTATTCCTTGCAGCACGCTTCGGGAAACATAGCATCCTTGTTATCTTTCCTCTCTCACTTCCCTTTCCCTTCTCTTCTTCCGCTTCCTTTTAACTGATAAAACACAAGAAAGGAACTCATACGATAAAGCAGTGAAAAGGTAAGCAGAGGGTGACTCCTTGCGCGTGAGCCTTTCCATAATACTCCATCATATTCATCCTCTCGGCCTATCTCTTCTGTTCCTTTCCTTACTCTTCTCCTTCTCATAGTTCTTCCTTTTTGTTTTTCTCATTACGAAAAGAAAGAGGGAAGGGAGAAACAAGGGAGAGAGAATAGATAAAGAAGAGTGCCATCTTCTCTGCGCCTTGTTTTTTCTCTCCCTCTTCTCTATTCATCTGTCTTCTATTCTCTTCCTTGCTCTTCCCATTAAATATGCAATCCTTGGTATCTCTCCTCTCTCCTTCTCTCTTCCTCCAACAGATGTGCTTTTGGATCGTTTTCTGCATCTTCAAGCGATAAAAAAGGACACAGACTGCGATTAAAAGGGACGCCCATGTTGGATTGGCAGCAAGCCCAGCTGATGCTCATGATTCTCTCTCTTTCCCTACACATGGGCGATGGAACGGGTGTCCTTTTCAATCGTTTTCTGCATCTTCAAGAGAAAAAGGGACACCCCACAAGAAGGAAAAGCAACATAAGAGATAGGGAGGGAAATTGACCCTTTCCTCTCTTCTTATCTGCTATTTTTCTTATTCGATTCAAAAAGCAACATAAGGGAAAGGGGATTTCCTGAAGAGGAGAGAGGGAACCTATCTGTGAAAAGCAAGAATGGTTTTTTCTAGTTCGAAAGGGAATAGGGAGAGACAAGGGAGAGATGATATGTACAGCTTTGCGCCTTATTTTGTGATTCCGTCTCCTTGCTTCCTGTCTCTTCTATTCCTTGCAGCACGCTTCGGGAAACATAGCATCCTTGTTATCTTTCCTCTCTCACTTCCCTTTCCCTTCTCTTCTTCCGCTTCCTTTTAACTGATAAAACACAAGAAAGGAACTCATATGATAAAGCAGTGAAAAGGTAAGCAGAGGGTGACTCCTTGCGCGTGAGCCTTTCCATAATACTCCATCATATTCATCCTCTCGGCCTATCTCTTCTGTTCCTTTCCTTACTCTTCTCCTTCTCATAGTTCTTCCTTTTTGTTTTTCTCATTTCGAAAAGAAAGAGGGAAGGGAGAAACAAGGGAGAGAGAATAGATAAAGAAGAGCGCCATCTTCTCTATTCATCTGTCTTCTATTCTCTTCCTTGCTCTTCCCATTAAATATGCAATCCTTGGTATCTCTCCTCTCTCCTTCTCTCTTCCTCCAACAGATGTGCTTTTGTATCGTTTTCTGCATCTTCAAGCGAGAAAAAAGGACACAGAATGCGATTAAAAGGGACGCCCATGTTGGATTGGCAGCAAGCCCAGCTGATGCTCATGATTCTCTCTCTTTTTTCCTACATATGGGCGATGGAACGGGTGTCCTTTTCAATCGTTTTCTGCATCTTCAAGAGAAAAAGGGACACCCCACAAGAAGGAAAAGTAACATAAGAGATAGGGAGGGAAATTGAAGAACTCCTCATTGTACTTGGTCATTCCCTTTCCTCTCTTCTTATCTGCCCATTTTCTGTGCGCCTTGTTTTGTCTCCCCCTCTTCTCCCATCATCTCTCTTCTGGTCTTTTCTTTGCTCTTCCCATTAAAAATGCAACCCTTTTTATGTCTCCTCTCTCCTTCTCTCTCCCTCCTCTTCTCCTGTTCCCTTCTAAGAGGGGAATGGAGGCCCTGTTCCTTTTCCTCTTTCAATGGATGGGGGAGTGGGCGGAGTTGGCCCCTTGCCCGTACACCCTCCCCATGCTTCAGCAAACCCCTCCTCTCGCCCTATCGCCTCTGTTTTTTTTCCTTGTGCCCAAACGGAAAACGAAAACGGGTTCCTTTATATGTTCATTGTCCTTCCTTTTGTTTTTTTATTTCACAGGGAAAAGAACCAGAGAAGAGGAAGATAAGAACGAGAGGTGAGATGAAAACGGCACCATCTTCTCTTTGCCTTATTTTTGAACCTCCCTCTCCTGTCTTAATTTCTCTTCCACTCTTTTTTTCCATTGCTCTTCCCATAATATTGCATTCCTTTTGATAACTCACAGGAAATTAAAATGGCCTCCTTGTTGTCTCTCCTCTCTCACTTCCCTTTCCCTTCTCTCCTTCTGTTTCCGTTTAATTTTAACTGATAAAACACAAGAAAGGAGCTTGTAAAATCAAGCAGTGGAAGGGTAAGCAGAAGGTGACTCCTTGTGCGTGGACCTTTGCCGTACTTCACCATACCCCTCTTTTCGGCCTATCTCTTCGGCTCTTTTCCTAACCCCTCTTCTTTTCATCTTTCTTTTTGTTTTTCTCATTTCGAAAAGACAGAGGGAACGGAGAGATAAGGGAGAGAGGATAGATAAAGAAGAGTACCATCTTCTTTGCGCCTTGTTTTATCTCTCTTCTATTCTTTTCTTGGCTCTTCCCATGAAAATCGTGTTCCTCTTATCTTTCCCTCCTTCTCTCCCTTCTCTTCTCCTCACGAGAGCCTTCGACTTTAGGATTGAGGAGAAAAAGAGAAGAGAAAAGAGGAACTACCTGTTTCTTGTTCCTGAGGCCTCCATAGTACGACTGACGTGACAGCAGCGTACCCTCGTGGAAACGTGTATGGCTATAAGAAAACCCGAGTCCCAGCTTCCAAATAGACCCTATTTAAGCCACCCACCCCTACCACCGCAAGCCGCCGCGAGCAAACTTGAGGGTTGGACTGTTCCGGACTATGTGACAACATTTCTTCTTATGCCCTTTTGTGCAGACCAGTACTTGTCTCAAGTGGTTGTGTCCTCCTAGGGTTGCCAAGGAATCACATAACAACAGCTGACAGAAATCCGTCTTCAACATAAGTAAACACCATTGCACTCCCTTGATCCTGTGTGTGAGGCCTCTTTCTCCCTTCGTTTCTTGTTTTGTTTCTCTTTCTTTCCTTCCTTCCTTCCTTCCTTCCTTCCTTCCTTCCTTCCTTCCTTCCTTCCTTTTTTCTTTCTTTCTTTCTTGCTTTCTTTCCTGGGGCTTGGGGGTGACCCCCTGTGACTGCCCCGAACCGGTGAACCTGCGCAACGTACTCTCTTTCTTCTCTCTCTCTCTCACACACAGGCAACTGGCAGGAGGGCAGACTGTCGACTGGCTGTCCCACTCTTTTTCGAACAACTTGAACTATACACATGCCAGACCCTACCTCCTCCAGATCCAATCCATTCTCGGATTGCCCCCTGCACTACAATGCTCCGAGCAACTGTAGCTCTCGAGCACGGGGTTCTACAATGATGTCAAAGTGCTAAGCACAGGGCTGCCACCAAGAAGAAAACAATCACGTTGGGGAGCTGGGCAAGGCAGCCAATGGACGACAAGTTCCCGACCGGTTGGCTTGCTTGATGTTGCATCGCTGTGCAAGATGAATAAGACCGACAGCAGTAGGGCAACTAAACTCTGAGGGACATGCCATGCCAATCGTCGCCAAAACTTGTTCAGGACCTATCGATGCAACAAAACCACGCGCATGTACAAGCACGTAGGGCCATGGAGACTCTGAGATACTCTGAGACAGCAACTTGGCAGCCGGGGTCCCTGCTAACATCCTCTTGGGGTGGTGGAGCCGGCTCTGGGTCATCCAGGGTGGGAAAGTACTGACGCCGAGCAGCAGCAGCAGCTGTGGCCTCCTTGCAAATGAGGATCTCTGAGGTTCTCTTCTCTTGCATCTTAAGGCCGAAAGGCCCCTATACTGCTTTGCTTTTCTTCTTTTGGCGCACACACACACACACACACCAAGCAGCACCTGCATCGTCAGCATCCACGCGGCAGCTCCTGCACTTGTTCGCGGACTTTGGATAAGGTTTCAGCATCTTCCAAATTGCTGTGACAAGGACACCAAATTTTTGCGATGTGATACAACTTGCAAAGTACAAAGCAAACGTCGGTTTGTCGTCTTTACATGCTACTACCAGAAGGTCTGTACAGGCTTGGCTGGAGGGTGCTGTTTTGGTTGTTTCTCCTCCTCAAAACACGTGTGATGTGAAGGAACAACAGTTCGGTTGAAGTGATCCGGGCCACGCACATCATGACAGGTGTGGAGTGGTTTTGGCGCGAATCGGCTCCACAGCTCTCCTGGCAGCGCGACCTGCACGGACCGCTCAATGGTAGGCTTCGCCGCAGGCTTCACCTCTTTGCAAACCAGACACTGCCAAAATTGCTCAAGTATGCGTCAGTTTTAGATGCTGAGATGGCTTTACATCACAAGGAAATTCAAGCAAAGACCTTTTTTCCGGGATCGCGGCGCAGGCCAAAGCCTGCTCTTGCCAGCACGTGGCATGGGAAAATGAACATTATCCAATACTCAAGCGAATCAATTTCAGGAGCTACCGATGGGCAGACGCGTACATCTTCAGGCCACGTTCCCACTCACGTTCGCCAAGCCCGCTGGGAGTCCTCCCAACAACAAGCATGACAGTGCAAGACAACGCAGGTGAGCATCACGGTCAGGCACTGATGCTTCCCTTCCTGTAGGCAGCACAATGTCCCTAACATGTCCTGACGGTAACCACGCCTTTGCCGTTGGCCTCGCGGCAGGACTGCGCGACCATCCCGCAGTGATCGCCCCTGGCAGGACAGCGTTTTCTTCTGAAGCCCCAAGAGGCTATCAAGCCCCATCAAGCCACGGAGCACCATAGGCAGTCATCGAAGAAAAGCCTAAGCCCAATGCACATTTATCACGATCTTCTGCCAGACAAGTAGGCAGGCGGCATTCTGTCGTATGCCACGCCTGTGGCTTCCTGCCCAGGCGCAGAGAAAGCCCTCCCAACCAGACATGCCTTTTCTACCCAACTCGGCCATTGAAAGCAACAGATCTGTATCTGCGACTGCCCCGCAGAGAGACTTCCTACGCCGTACAGGATCGGTGCGTCATCTTCGCGCATGGCACAACGAAGATACCGAATGAACACACGACTCAGCAAGACTGTCCCTTGGAGTTGTCTCGGCCTTCAGCCGGGGGAAGTGAGTCATCGCCTTGTTCGAAGAAAGGGGCGGCTGGCGGCCTGGAAAACAATGCATGGCACAAATGACACCTAAAGCGCCTCTGTCTTCTTGAGAGCAATTCGGGACAAGTGGCTCAAAACTCAAGTACAGTTCCTCAAGAAGTCTCAACAGCCTGCCTGGAAACTGCATCGAACACTATCATAACTACGACTCTCGTACCCTTCTTGGCACCACGCTGGACATTAACGGCACCTCAAGCTCAAAAGCTCAGTCCGAGAGCCGAGATGCCGATCTGGTTGACGTCCTTCCCATCCCAATCTCGCAAGAGAAGCTGCCAGACTGTCACGCCAGGCAGCACCTGAGACAAGCACACAAGCTTGACAATTCTCCGCGACCACGACCACTGTCACTGCCTCCAGAAGCGAGAGTGCCTCAGGGAGTTTTTTCAGGGAACACTGGAAGTGATAATACCAAGACTCTGTAACATCCCTGCAAATCCTGGCCTTGCGACCAACTTTCTCAGCAAAAGGGGTATCTGCGCTGCTGGCCACCGCTATTTTCATACCTGGATAGTTACCTCAGCTTTATCTTCTACACTACAATTCAAGGAAGCCACTCAGCTCTCATTGACATAATCACCTCCAGGCCACCTTCCGCGTGGTTCTGCAAGGCCTTCATTGCTCCTTATGTAACTTCGGCCGCAGCCATGACGTGCCATGACCACAGTCTCGTTCGGTGATGCAAGGAAACGGTCCTTTGTGCAATGAGATCTTGTCCACGCCGCTCATGACCTGAAGTTATTTAAGCCACATCCGTTGAAAACAAGCAAAGGATCCTTCACAAGATGGAAAGACTCTCGTCGTCTACTTCGCAGACCGTGCCCCACTTCGGGCCCCAGCGCCGGTGACACCTTCACCTCCAGGAAGGTCGCCGAGGACGATGTCCTTGTCCGTCGGTATTGCCTCCATCTCATACATCTCCTCAAGTTATGAGAGGGCAATTCCGTTGAAAACACTTCAGGTCTCTAATGGATCGTACGAGTGCCTCTCCTTGTCCCAGAGACAGGCATCCAAGTCAAAGACGCAGAGTTCCGGGTAGGGCCCTGCTCTGCCTTCACCTGCTTTCCTGCCCGGAATATTTCAGGCGTCATGCCAGCACAGGGAAGGAGGCAGTCAGATGGGGCTCCTAAAGACTGGGCGCACTGCCGGTCGCCATCGAAAGCCTGTAAAGGCTAGACCTCAATCGGTATGCCCGGAGTTTGTCAGGCACAACACGGACATCTGCAGTTGAACTTTCCGGCACGTGCGGCACAGAACCGAAAAGTGCTCGCGGCCAAAGTGTTGAAGTGCTTCGTTGTGCAAGAAAGCACAACATGTGAAGCAGCAGAGGATCAGACAGTGCCACCAGAGTAGGCCAACTGGTACAAACCAGCAGCGTCTCAACATGGCTCTCATGGCTC